TAAAATAAAAAATAATTTAAAAAATTAAAAAAAAAAGAAATGGGGAGATAGGGAAGAGAAAGGAGGATTTAGGACTAGAAGTAACTCCATCCAGAAATGTCTGGTCATTCTACAGAAACAGAGACTTGGCCTTACCAATGTCTTAAGCACAGTGACAGTGTGGAGCCTGCAACATGGGTACTGACTTTGACATCAATGGTCCCGACTATTCCCCAGGTTATATTTATACACAGTCTCCCCATTTTCTATGTGATACATCAAACACATCTCATACCCACACCAGCTAGCCCTATTCTGGGACTGAGGCCAGAAGACAGCCAAACCAAGGCACCATGGAAGGAAAGTGCTGAAGTCAAATGTCATCTACAGAATTCAGATCCCACTTTTCCTCCGCTGTGAGAATGTTTCAGAGATAACGAAGGTCAGCATTAGTTCTGTCACTAACCATGTCAGTGATAATGCAGCCACTCATACGCTGACCCTGAACTAGACAACTGGGGAAGTCTGTCTCCTAAAAAAAGGTTTAAAAAAGGAAAAAGCTATCATTACAAGCTAACCTGATCTATAAAAATAAGCTGGGTGATTCTTTGCTGTGCAGACAGTCTCTCTACAGAACACCTTTAAAATAGTAAAACTCTGCAATAGCTTTAAATACAGATGTGTATGACTTAAATTTTGGGGAACATGTCTTTTGAATAAAACAAGTCATGCCTGCAACTGAAAAGTGTGTTTTGGCTTTTGAAGACAGGGTCTTACTATGTAGCCCAGGCTGGCCTCCAACTTGAGATCCTCCTGTCTCAGTCTCTAGAGGTCTAGGATTACAGGCATATGTCATCTACCATGGCCAGTCTTGAACAGTGTTTTAATCTGACTAGAACAAGGTGAGATTCAGATCATATTAATGATAAATAAAAACAATTTAGGTTTAGGTTTAAGTATTGCTCAGGTCCTTTCCTCTCAACTGTTCCTTTTTTTTTTTTTTTTTAAAGACAGGGTCTCCCTGTAGCCCCAGTTAACCTGGAACTCACTATGTAGACAAGGCTGACTCACAGAGATCCACCTGCCTCTGCCTCCCATGTGCTGGGACTAAAGGAGTGCACTACCACACCCTGCTTTTTTTTTTTTTTTCTGTCTTCTTGAGACAGGGTCTCCCTGTAGCCACACCTGTCCTGGAACTCACTATGTAGACCAGGCTGGCCTTGAACTCACAGAGATCCACCTGCCTCTGCCTCCTGAGTGCTGGGATTAAAGGCGTGTGCCACCTCGCCCGGCTACACTCTTTTTTAAAAAGTTGTGTGTGTGTGTGTGTGTGTGTGTGTGTGTGTGTGTGTGTGCATGTGCACGCAACATGAGTGCAGGTACCCAAGGAGGCCAGAAGCATGTACCCCTTGGAGCGGGAGTTTTAAGTGGTTGTGAGCACTGAAATGAGTACTAGAACTTGCATCCTGTGCCAGAGCAGCACGCTCTCAGTCATCCAGTCATCTTTCCAATCTCAGGTTTTAAGATTTCAAAGCTGACAATCCATCCGGGAAAGAAGTTACCTCCCAAATGGCCGACATTTCAAAGTTCATCAACTGATTATAAATTTTATCTTGCAATAATTTCCTACACGTCAATAAAACAAGGGTTTTATCTCTTCCCCCAATGGGAAGAGGCAACTAAGAATGAGGCACAAATATTAAAAGTTACATTCTACACAAAGTTAGCAAACTACAGAGATGCAACCATCCCACACTAGTTGTAACTCTCCCTGCAATCACTTAATACATGCTATGTAACTAATAATGTCACTCCATGGAGGGATGACACACGGTCCTGGTCTTTAACAGGTCTAGAGGGCTCTAGAACTGACACAGTACTGGAACTCCTGCCTACAGAGAAGGATTTTGGTGCAGAGAAAACAGACAAAAGCAGAAAATAATGGACCCAGAGATTTATCTGAAAGGATCTGCTCAGCAAGCCACAGGGAGAGTATTTCTGAAGACAGGGAGCTGTCCAGACACTACACACAAATCTGTCACACAACCCAGCCAGAGAGCCAAGCCCTATAAGCCTACACATTTGACATCCATATAGAGGAAAACGAGATTTGATCTCAGATCCGTATGATCCAAGGAGAAACTTCCAAAACCATCTGCCCCCACTCAGCCATAAACTCATGCTCAAAGGCACAAACACTCAGAACATTCCCCTCATCTCCATGCTATTCTGCTGCCTGGCCCCTCCCCCTTCCTGGGTATGGCCACTAATATATGCTACATGTGTGGTGAGTTCAGAAAGGGGCAGTCCTTGGAAATGATTTTCAAAGAGCCTGGTTTAATAACTGTGGAATTGGGTGGAGGCCTGGTCCCTTCTGGAGATAAATACAATTCTTTCTTTCACTCTCGAGCTTTTTTTCCCTTCAAAGTAACTATACTTTTAATAATATTTACTGGATACATTTTGACAAACTAAAAACAGGCTTGACAAGTTGGAGACGAACAAATTATCACTTTCATAAAGTGACTATTGAGCACCTGCCCCTGGGAGGACCAGATAAATTATTACTAAGACTCAGAAAGCTTAGGGATACTCAGGCACACAAGGCAATCTAACACAAAGCAATCCCTGCACAGGGAACACAGAGGAAGCACAAGTTCTCCTGTGTGGGCCAGACTGATGGCTTGTGTGTTCATGAGAAGGTGCCACCAGCAGGCTGCATTCTCCTGGGGCTTTTCAGAAGGATGGGTGCAGACTAGGGTAGGAAAGGGTCATTCCCCAAAGTCTTTGCGTACTTGACCCTTGGACTACAGGGAGCCCCAGAAGTGTGAGTGACAAGGGCCAAACCCATGTCTACAAAGTCAACATGGCTCTTTGGTATGCCTCTTCAAAAGCATGGACTTCACACTGCACAAATCATTTGTGTTCGTCCACGCAAAACACCCCGCCATTCCCAAAACCATGTGTTTCAACTTTTTTAAAAATTATTTTAGGTTATGTGTTATGAGTGTATTGCCTGTGTGCATGTACATGCACCTGTGTCCTGCAATGCCCGTGGAGGCCAGAAGATGGCACCGATCCCCAGGAACTGGAGTTATGGATAGTTGTTAGCCGCCTGTGGGTGCTGGGAATCAAACCCAGGTCCTCTGTAAGACCAGCCAGTGCTCTTAACCCCTGAGCCATCTCTCCAGCCCTTGTGTTTTTACTTTTAATAACCAAAAATGGCAGGCAATCATTTAAAAAAAAAAAAAAGAGGGGTAAGTTAGAGCTGGAACTTGAATCCCTTCAGCCACCCTTCAGTGGTTAAATCCACACAAAATCCTATCACAGTGAGCTTTATTAGAAAAGTCCCATGAACTTTCACGAACACATCTCTAGCACTTTGGGGGTCACCTCAATGTCTTCCCCTAGGTCCAGCCCAGAAAGATCCAGATGGGAGGGAGCCAGGGAGACAAGGAGGGTGGTTGTCCTGGTGCATCATCCTCATGCATCCTCACACACAGAGACAGAGATACACAAGAGACACGGGGGATGGTGGTGACCCTGGTGCATCATCTTGATTCATGTATATGTGTGTGTGTGTGTGTGTGTGTGTGTGTGTGAGAGAGAGAGAGAGAGAGAGAGAGAGAGAGAGAGAGAGAGAAACAGAGACAAGGAGGCTAATGTTGACCCCACATGGGGGCCGGTGGTGCACCATCCTGATACATATGTGTGTGAGAGACAGAGAGACAGTGACACGGGGGCTGGTGGTGACCCCAGCGCATCATCCTGATACATGTATGTGTGAGACACACACAGAGACAGAGACATGGGGGGCCGGTGCTGACCCCAATGCACCATCCTGATGCGGGCGCGCGCGCGTGTGTGTGTGTGTGAGACAGACAAACACACAGACACTGGGCTGGCGAAAGAGAGACGGACACAGAGAGCGACACAGACACCGCTGCACCATCCTGGTACACGCGTATGTGAGTGCCAGGACCGGCGACCGCACAAAGCGCAGAGCGAGCCCCGCCCGCCCGCCCGGACCCCGCGAGATGCGCTGGGGCCAAAACAAAATCACAACCGAAAGTTCTGCGCGGCGGCGGCGGGAGCAGATTGGGCGACAGGCTTC